TTTTCGACGCTTAGTGGTTTGGCTTCCTTCTTTTTAAAGTCATCGAAAAGAACTCGCGCTTTGGACATTCACGTTCAAAAAAGGTTTCCAAAAGTTGCTTAGACGCGATGGAACTACAATGGACGTTTATTGCAAACAGTGTTTCACCGTGATTCTTTGATACACTTTTTTCAAGACGTTTGGAATAATAAAGAAACATGGGATGCTGAAACTATTACTGTCGCTAAAGGGTATTTGCATTGGCTCAAAATTTAATTTCACTTTTTTGCTCAACATTTTTGCAGAGATTTTCCCTTTTACTGACATTTTCCATACAAAGTTAAATGACATTGGTTTTGCATTAAACAAATTAATGATTTTAAAAATAAAATGAATAAAAAACGAGATCAGTTTGAACACTTTTGGAATAAGACTCAAAACATTGGCTTAGAACCTGAAAGAAAGAGAATTGGAATTGATAATTTCGGCGACAGAAAGACCTCCTATCGTCGATTATACGCCGACATTTTTGATAATATTTTACAACAAATGAACTCTCGATTTCAAAACTTTAACGAATTAAAATTTGTTGAATTGTGCAATTTTAATATTAGTAACTACGATTCATCAAAATTTCCATCGGAAGCTTTTAATTCACTAAAATTAAATTATGAAAATGTTTTCGATATTCCAGCAAGTGCCAGTTAAGTGTTGTTTATGAAACAACTAAAATTAGTGATAAAAAGACGCCCATCAATGTGTTAAATTTTCTTATAACAACTGGTTTAAAGTCCCTTTGTGAAGTCGTCAAAAGTTGCGTGAATTAGTACTAACCATACCAGCCACAAGTGCGTCAGTTGAGCGTAGTTTTTCAGCTTTAAAGCGCATTAAAAGTTTTATACGAAATTCAACAAGTGAAGACAGACTCTCTAATTTAGCCCTAATATCCATTGAAAAAGAGCTTGTTAAACAGTTATCAGAAAATCCAAAATTTTACGACGATGTTATAGACAAATTTGTAACCATTAAGGATAGGCGAATAGATCTTAAGTATAAATTAATGTCAACTGTGCAAAAAATGCGGGAAATAATAAAAAAACTTTAGTTAAATGTTTTTTTTTTTACGTTTAAATAAACCAAGGAAGCTTTTTAATGGTAATTTTTTTATAGCTTCTAGTACTAAACTAGGTAATAAAGTAATAGTTACACTTCAAAAAGCTCAATCTCGAATATCCGTAGTAGGTACTGAGGAAAAAAGCAAGATTTTAACAAAATGGTAAATGCGCCGCGAAATTTTTTTGCCTGCGACGCTGTGCTTACTGGCCTGCTGTATTTTTATACAATCGCTTCCCCTTCCAAAAATGTCACAGCACGCCACTGATTATTAGAATTATAAAATATGAGTATCGTAATCGCATTGCACTTAAAAATGTTTAAATAAACTAACAGAAATCCAAAAATTATATTTGTAAATTTTACCATAAATTATTTTTCGAAATCGGCAAAAATACGCACAATCCTTTTTACCTGAGAGATACTAAATAGTAGATGCTAATAATTTTAATTTAAAAAAGCACCATCCACTTTATGCTGCTTAGAAATAGATGATGCTGGCTGGCTACTTTATAAATTATCTGTGTGGCCCATGTTAAATGCATGGCCCATATTCGGACCAGTTTCTCTAATATATTCAACAATAATCTTAATTAAACATAGTCAGTCTACAGAGTAACCAATGAGCACACGTACGTTAAAAAAACGTCGAAAACTGGTTGATAACCAAACGTATAAGAAAGAGTTCAAATTTCATGGAAAATAACGTTATTCACAACCCAAATTGCATTTAAAATTAACGTATGTTTGTAACGTTTTATGTTACTATTAAGATAATATTAGAATCAGACGTTGAATTCTACATAGTTTATAACATGAAAAAGAAGAAATATCGGTTGATTATGAATAAAAAAATGTATTATAATTATACGTAATATTGCAACGGTTTTATTTTCCCGTTTTCTTAACGTTACTATATATTACGTATTTTCAAGTGATTCAATAAACGTTTATATGCCAACTAAATAATCTTTTATTACGTATTAATCACACATATATTTTTAAACAACAATTAAACGTTAATTATTATGCAATAGTTGAACGTTGTAAAACAACTCTTTATTTAAACTTTCATCTAAAATAAAAGTAATTTATAATAAATAAGTTCAATATAATATTTAAACAGTATAGCTATAGACTATAGACAAATCTATAAATATGAATCTGCTTCTTTTGTCTTGACTGAACTACCATTCAGAAAGTTTCATTATATCATTCGTAGCGCTTACGACTTAGAGATTTGGAACAGTCTGTTTTTCGGTGCGCCCCCTCTTAGAACGTTAAAAGGTTTAAATACAGTAACGTTTTATATACGACTTATATTTATTTTAAATTAACGTTAATATTATACGTATAACAAAATTATCGGTTTTTAGTTACATAACAACGTTTAAAAACAATATTAAAATATACTTAAGTAATTAATATTGAAACAAAACGTAGTTTTCGTCATTAACCAAATGTTAAAAGGTTCGTACTTAAGTAATTCATATAAAACAACGTAGATATTTAGTTTCCGTCATTAACCAAATGTTAAAAGGTTGGAATTCAATAACATCTAAGACTTGCATTTAATTGAAACTAACGTTGACATTATATGTATATTTAACAAAATTATCATCTTTAAGTTATATATTTAAAAATAATATTAACATAGATAAATAATAAACATTAAAACAACGGAAATTTTTAGTTTAAAACATAACGATACAATAACATTTTTATTACGACTTTTATGTAATTTAAACTAACGATAATATTACACGTATATTTAACAAAATTTTTTTCTTTCGGTAGAACTACAAATGCAATACAATGTTAAAAAAATAACAGAAGTTCAATTTTTAACTGGTTATATTTAAACTACAAATGTAATTTTTAAAATTACGTTTAACAATAACCGATGATTATACAACAAGGTTCAAAGTATAAACTAAGATTTCGTTTTAACTGCCTATTGTACGGCCCACTCTATATGAATTATATTTAATTTAAATTAACGTTAATATTATATGTATATTTAACAAAATTTTATAACTTTCCTTTACATAACAACGTTAAAAAATATTAAAATATAGTTAATTAAATAATATTAAAATAACGTTTATTTTTAGTTAAAAATATAAACCAAACGTTTAAGTTTTCCGATACAATAACGGTTTTATTACGACTTTTATGTAAGTTAAACTAACCTTACTATTAAACGTATATTAAATAAAATTTTCAACATAAATAAATATTAATAAAATAACGTGGATATTTGATTTAAATTATTAACCAAATGGTAAAAGGTACGAATACACAAACGTTTTCTATAGGATATGTATTTATTTAATTTAAACTAACGTTAATATTATACGTATATTTAACAAAACCATTAACTTTTGGTTACATAAAAACGTTTAAAAGTAATATTAAAATATAGTTAATTAATTAATATTGAAATAACGTATAGGTATTTTTAGTTTAAAAAATAAATCAAACGTTAAAATGTTTTGATACAACAACGTTTTCAATACGATTTTTATGTAACTTAAAATAATGTTGATAATTAATTTAAAAAAAAATCAACTATGGGTTTAAATATAGTATTAAGCGAAATAAAAAATAAACGTTAATTATAAAGAAGAAAATAACATTATAAAAAAACGTATTATTTCATTAAATTTTCAACATTTAGTTAAAAATAGCTAAAAAAAATAAGTTAGTACCTAAGTATTATTTTTTATACGTATAATTTTTCAACTAAAATGTTAACGTTGTATTTTCAACCATGCAATGTTTTTTTTATACCGTACAAAGTTATGTTCAGGGCCGACGAGAGGGGGGTAGCCGGGACAAATTCCCGGGGCCCGAGCTCAAGTATTTTTTTTTTAGAAGTTTGCCACAAGAGAGACGACCTCTTTTTTTGAGATTTTACTAAAGAGGAGAAGACATTTTTGCTTGAAGATTTTTTTTATAAATATGATATTGAAAGGGCTTAATTTTTTTTATAAAATTGCGTCGCGGGGCACGACCTGAAAAATTGTCCCCGGGCCCGACCTGGCTCTCGGCGGCCCTGGTTATATTTACGTTGAAAAAACGAGTGTGTGCTCATTGGGTAGGTACTGAGAGTCCAAAATAAATAAGAATGGACGCCGAACAGACCATATCTATGGAACGAATAGCCATCTGTTATTTTTTATCAAAAAAAAAAAAAATTGATTATTAGGTACCTATTATTTTAATAATTTATACTTAAGTAGTTTAAGTAGATTCTAGTATAACCTAGTACCTACCTATGTTTTTTGTTTAATAACATTTTTTCAAGATTTTTTAAAATTTTGTTCATTATTAAATTGAAGTGCATTTTTCTAGTGGTGCCAGCCATTAAATTTCATTTTTTTTTAACTGAATTCATCGCTTTTTCTACATTGTCTGCACTTTTTAATTGACAATGGATCAAATTTACATAAAAATCCTACCTATTTGAATAAAAATAAAAATATTCAAATTATCAAAATTTTTAACATCCACATAAAAAAATGTCAAATAAATTTTGATCAAATCAACTTCCTTTTCAATTAATTAGGTATATATCCCTTCACAGACATACCCTGCATTCAGAAAATTAAAATTAGTAATGGAATCCCATCAGGCACCACCTAACAATCACGTCAATATAACAAACAGCAAATCAATTGATTCATAGAAATTTTATTGGTCAATAGCGTATAATATCCTCCAAATTGAGGTGCACTAATTTCCTCCACAACTAATTAGAACTTGCTAACAAGTTCGAAATTGGGGCTATTTCATTGGCCAAGGGGGCTCCAACTACGTATGGAAGGCGTGTCCGGGCGAGCTCCGCCCATCAGCATTCACGTTGCTGTCGGGGCAACTGCTATTTTAACAGTAACGTCGCACTTGTCTCCGTTAACGGTTAGTTAGTCAATCGGTGTGTTTTTGTGATTATTTTTGGCAAATATGGAAATCCCGTCCAACGAAACGATGATACACACCGAGAGTGAGCCTCTAACAAAGCCGGTCCCAAGGCCCTTTTCTATAGAGGCTTTGATGAGTGATTGCGGCCCTCGGAGGAATACGAACTTGTTAGTTCCGTGGGAACATCAGCAACATCAGTTTGTGCACAATATTTCAAAAGACACTGATTCCGAGGGTAGTGTGGAAATGGATTTAGCTCAGGATTTGTCAAATGCGAGTCAAAAAGATGGTAAATAGAATAAAATATTATATTTATAGGATAGGTAACAAATATTTACATTAATGTTAATGTTAAGACTCTTGTTCAATTATTAACATTATTAAAAATAATATGAGGCACCCTGTTTAAGGCAATTAAAATCGCACGTGTAAATCGGCCCGAAGGACCATGTAAATAGGTACCAAAGATAACCCCTTTACCCTGATTCATTTAGCATGTTTTGCGTTACAAAAAATGTAACATTATGGATACCTACCTATCTATATCTATCTACGCAGTTGACATAATTTTGATAAATGTGAAATAGATATGTACCTAACAAAAAGTACCTACCAAAAAGTTAGATAACGTAACATTATGGATACCTATCTATCTATATCTACCTACGCAGTTGACATAATTTTGATAAATGTGAAATAGCTATGTACCTAGCAAAAAGTACCTACCAAAAAGTACCTACCAAAAAGTACCTACCAAAAAGTTAGATATATTATTTCTAATCAATAATTGCGAAGAAAAACATAAAAAAACTGAAAACACCAAAAATGAATAACAGATAGATCGAGATATGAGCGATATCTTTAACTGTTAAAAATACTTATTTCCAGTGGCGGTTCGTGATTTAGAAAGTTTATAATACACCTTACTAACAGTGGCGGCTGGTGAAAATTTAAAATGGGTGTTCACTTTTTCCAATAATTTTATCATTTGTAAGTTCGGTTCAAAATCTTGTACAAGTGTAGTCATTGTTATCAATATCATACTGTTTTCAAGAACAACAACTATTAATAAATGAATATTTTAGTTAGTGGAATATTTGTTTTGTTTTTAATACGTTGAAAACCATCTATAAACATTATTAGTTGGTCCACTGATATTTCTTCATATTTTGAGATTATTTTTAAATCGACATTGATTTTTGTGCAAAAAATATTATTACATGAAACTTTTCCTACCATTTTTTCAGTTTTTATTGTAAATTTAATCATTTTCACTATTTGTAACACATGATAAATAAAATAATATGTTTTTTAAATACTATTTATTAGCAAAAAACAAGTGAACTAAAATGTGTATTCAGGGCTGCCGAGAGCCAGGCCGGGCCCCAGGACAATTCTCTACATCGGGCCCCGTGACAAAAAAAGCTGTTCAAACAAAAACTTTTCCTCTCTACGTGAAATGAATTTTCTAAAAAAAAAAGTCCTCAAGCTAAAACTTTTCCTCCTCTAAGGTAAAACTTTTCCTCATCTAAGGTAAAACTTTTCCTCCTCTACTTAAATTGACTTTTCTACAAAAAAAACCTCCCCGACCAAAAACTTCCCCTTTTGTCCTCTGTCCAATTTCTCATACAAGACAACAAGACAAAAAAAACCAGTTGCCAGGCCCCCATTTGAGTCCGGCCCCGGGAATTTGTCCCAGCTACCCCCTTCCTCTAGTCGGCCCTGTGTGTATTTTATAAGATCAGTCCATCACAATACACAGATACAAATTTTAGAATGATATATAATGCGAGGCCTTCTAAATTATAATTTTCACAGCTTACCAGACCCTCTTACCCCCATTTTCAATCATTTTCAGAATCAATAGGCTTTATCTCTTCTTATAGAGTTTCATTTTTACTAAACATTTTAATTTAAGGATTTAGGATTTTTACCCATCCTAACCCCCTATTTTTAATCAGATTTTTTGATAAACAATAGGCTTTGTCCCTTTATAGAGCTTGGTTTTTGCTTTAAATTTTCAAGTTGATATCATTTTTCGTTTTTGACTTATCGTGCAGACAAAAACCGTGACATCGGACAAAGTAAACCTATAATACTATTCACAGACTACTGTGTGAAGAGTAGAATAATAATATAATCAAGGCTAAAACAATAACATAATAATATAATAGCCTAAAAAATATGTACACTAAAAGAATGATAAAGTTAAAGGGTCAAAAATTATTTAACATGTATATCAGTACTTCGAAGATAAACTGTGCTGTCATTCTAGTCAGCTTTATAGTAGAGCAGACTGAATGTTGGTTGAACACTTTTGATGTTTCATATTTACATATAATAATTATATTTCGACAAGAAATTCAGTTGGCCCCAATTATTGTCACAATATATATTGTTTACTAATAATCTAATAAAACTATTTTTTAACATACATGAATTGTTGGTTTTTGTAACATATTTCTATGTTCTGATAACAAAGTTTTTATGACATACCTAGTGTCTTTTACCTCCAACATGCCACTATAAATAGTACGACTAAAGTAAGAGTTAAATAGTGATGTTTAACGTTTAACTTGTAAGTTTATTAAACATTGAACATAGCATTATCTTTTTTTTAAATCAACTTATATTGTGACATCACTATACATGGTATAGAATACCACTGAAAAGGTATCGATGAGCCGACTTTAAAAAATGTAACCTTTACAACATTGCACTACGTCTACATAGTTTACCTCCCAGGTAGATATCGGTAAATATTTAATTTAATCTTCATAATATAGGTACGTACCTAACATAGACACAACTATTAAGTTTCTTGAATTAATTTAGGCCAGTGCAATATTTATATTTTATATCTTCTATAAAAAAACTGTAATGTAAGTCTGACAGTGTTTATCAGTACCTCTGGCATTTATAGATAGGGCATTTTTGTATTACTTCAAGGGACAATCTACAAAATAAACAATTATTCATATAAAATTGTATTACAGTCAAGAAATTATCTTTGTTTAAGGGTCGATCTTTTCACCTCTGAGTAAAGTTACATGTAAGTTTACTTGACATATTAACAAACAATAGCTCTATAGTTTAATCAGCAAGTAGTAACTTTCATCTTGGTGAAAAAAATGGCCCTAAATAAAATATATAATAAAACTGTCATACTTTTTTAAAACTTCCTTCGTCTTTTGTTGGAAACAAAAAAAAATAAAAATTTATTCAATGCCTAATTGAGCATATTCTGTATATATTCTTGGGTTTATTCTGTAGACTATAAAACAAAAAATAAAATAAACTATAATTTGAAGTACACATAACCTCAAAAATAACACACATACTTCCGATTTATTAAAGTCGCAGTTTTATTTAAACTTAATTTTTAATACAATTCACAATTAAAATTGTCTCATGTTGTTTTTTTAGAATTTGACAGCTTGATTTTAAATGTTGGGAAGATAGAATATGAAGTAGGTAGATAACGAAATAAAGACTATTTTGTGATATGACAAGTGGAGGCACTTTGCGTCATATTTTGATTAATTTTAATTAATAATTTTATATTTGTAAATTGACGAAATGAAAATGTTTTTGTATCATTTAAATCACGCTATTTTAATAAAGGGCATTTATTATCACCAAAACTGACGAGTTTGACATATGTCGTAAAAGAGTAATACAAAAGTGAGACGTTTAGTACCGACATTGCTTCTCTATATCTATGATTTGAAATATTGGTATGGCCCCTCCTACTTTGTGACGTCACGTTGTGCGTTGCGCAAATTAGGCTAATTTAAGTTATTTTATCATTGTTTCACTACGTTTCAGGGATCTATTATCGTGTGACATCTCTTTTTAGCTAAAGATTTTCAAGAACGCTTCTCACTCCCGCAGGCTCACTTATAAAAGCGCGCCACGAGCGCAGTGGCGTACCCAAAAATAGATATTAACACGTATAAAAACAATAAAATTATTAAAATTGAATAATTAATATTTTTATGTTATTATTTTAAAATGTGTTTTTATGAAATTTAACTGGGTGTTTACTGCACAAATGAACCAATGGAGAAACCGCTCCTGATTTCTAAAACACTTACATTTTTTTACCTACATCTGTACCGAGATCTATATTCTGCTACTGTGAACCCCCAACATTTTGGTGACAGGCCGCCCCTGCTTATTTCCCAATTAGAAAATTAAATTTTTACATTAATCATAACTTAATAATGTTTTGTACCAACCGTTTTGGATACATCTTGGAATGAATTATTGAAACTTTCTTATTTTTAAGTTTTTTAAATTATTTGAAAAAGTTTTTTATTTTAAATACTTATAATACACAGATAAAAAAAGTATTAACTTAGGATTTACCCTGTATACACACTAATACAGACACAAAGGAATGTGTCCGGCACCTTTAATATCGCGGTGATCAAAATTTCAGTGACAGAAGTTTCTCACGTGCAAAACTGATCTAAATTCGCAAGATCAGATGATACACTAAGAAAAAGATTTAAATATCGTTAACAAACTTATGGAAAATCGGTACATGGATGATTTATATTACATTAATTTTTAATAGTTTAAGAGATAGGGATATGTTTTAAACATATCTCTCACTAAAGTGTGTCACAAATATCCTTTCCAATTTATAATGTAGTGATAGACATTTTCATTTGGAGATCGTAACCATCCTTAAGAGGAGATAATTTAAAAATTTACAATGGCTATATCTCATAAACTGAAGATAAAAATGCCTAAAAGCATTTCTGTGATATGAAGGAGGAACTTAAATGACATAAGAGAGAACTCACTTGCAACCCCCTACGACCTATTACTCCTAAAAAACAAAAATTTAAATAGAGAATGTATCACGTATATCAAATAAGGTATTTTTTGGGGAAGTATTAATACCCCAATCCACAATTTTAGTCCCTCCTTAAAGGGAAAAAAGTGTTAGGTACCTAATCAAACAATCAAATGTGCGTTGCTTCATTTGAGAGCCATTTTTATTAGTAATTCAATGTTCCACTTAACATTAATCTTAATGTCTTCATATTAAACTTGTTCCAAAATCAATTTAGTACCTTTGTAATGGTAGCACACTGTATATATTTAATTTTTGTTTAATTTAATTTTTATCTATTTAATTTAATATTATGTGGTGTATTGAATTGCTAATAAAACGAACTCTTATATGAGGTGTCACATTTTGTATTAATAACACTTAAGTATTCCTCTCAAGGAAGATTTGGGGTATTCGTACTAACACTGGTGTATTCTCCAATG